TTGAGCATGGTGATAAGGCTGGTAAATTGCTGGCACACCAAATTCGACAGGTATCTGCCTCTCGCCAAATAACTAAAATCCAAGCAGCTCAGCTGATCCTTCGGAAATCAATGCGACCTTTAAAACATTTTACAACTCACTATATACATCTGAATGCACTCCTACAGATGACGATTTTGAAACTTTTTTCTCAGGTTTAACTATTCCCATGCTCACTCAGGAAACCGCTACTAATTTGGGCAAACCAATTGCTCTCGCTGAACTTCATTCTGAAATACAGTCTCTTCAGGGTGGGAAATGTCCGGGCCCCGATGGCTATCCGTCGGAGTTTTATAAAACATTCAAAGATAAAATTGCCCCTTTGCTATTGGACATGTATAATGAATCATTTAATTCCGGAGTTTTACCCCAAACACTTAATCAGGCCACAATCTCAGTTCTTTTTAAGAAGGGAAAGGACCCCCTTAACTGTTCATCTTACCGCCCCATAAGCCTTTTAAATGTAGATTTTAAACTGTTATCCAAGGTTCTGGCTACACGCCTTGAATCTCATTTACCCACTATTGTTAATCCGGACCAAACAGGTTTTATTCGAAATAGACATTCTTTTTCTAATTTTAGGAGACTATTCAATATAATCTATGATACCTCACCAAGCAACTCACAAGAAGCACTCATTTCGTTAGATGCCGAAAAGGCTTTTGATCGCGTGGAATGGCCTCATTTGTTTTATACAGTCAAAAAATTTGGTTTAGGAGACACCTTTTTATCTTGGATTAGACTACTTTACTCCAATCCACTAGCCTCGGTTAGAACTAACACTACTTATTCTGATTACTTCCGCCTTTATCGTTCAACGAGACAAGGATGCCCACTCAGCCCTCTTCTATTTGCATTAGCCATTGAGCCTTTAGCAATTGCATTACGTTCTAACCCCAAAATCACAGGCATACGTAGATATGGTTTGGAGGCAAAGGTGTCCCTATATGCCGATGATTTACTCTTATACATATCAGACATAAATACGTCAATCCCCGCTGCTTTACGTCAACTCTCTGACTTTGGCCAGCTGTCAGGTTATAAACTTAATCTAAACAAAAGTGAGATTTTTCCTCTCAATTTAGCTTGCAATGTTTCTTCCCTGCGTCGCTTCCCCTTTAAAGTAACCTGTGACAGTTTTACGTATCTTGGAATTCAGGTCCCTTACCAACCGGAGAACTTGTTTAAAATTAATTTTTCCCCTTTAATGCTGAAGGTAAAAGATGATTTTGAACGATGGTCGTTGCTCAAACTGTCTTTGGTAGCACGCATTAACTGTGTAAAAATGAATGTCCTGCCTCGCTTTCTGTATTTGTTCCAGTGTATCCCCCTTTTTTTACCCAGCTCCTTTTTTAGTCAAATTGATACACTCATCTCAGAATTTCTTTGGGATAAGAAGATCTCGAGGTTGTCCAAAAATTATTTACAAAGACCTAAGTTGCTGGGAGGGATGTCTTTGCCTCATTTTAGGTATTATTACTGGGCCACAAACATTAGAACTCTTAAATATTGGCTTCAGTCTGGAACATCTTCTCCAGACTGGTTAATCATGGAGAGGAACTCTGCTAAACCAGCTTCTCTTGCAGCTTTACTTTATTCACCTATCCAATGTCCGACCATAAAATATGCTAAGAACAAGATCGTTAAAATATCTCTCAAAATTTGGACACAATTCAAACGATATTTTGGCCTGCAACTTTACTAGCATAATGCTCCATTAGCAAATAATCACTTTTTCCCCCCTTCGCTTATCAATAGAGCATTTTTAGTTTGGTCCACACATGGTGTACAGTCATTTAAAGATCTTTTTATTGACAATGTTTTTGCTTCCTTCCAGCAGCTTTCGTCTAAATTCTCTATCCCAAAGCAACACTTTTTTAGATATTTGCAGATCCGCAGTTTTGTCCAAAGTAATTTCCCTACATTCCCAAACTTTCCCGAGGATTCTACTTTGGACTTTTTGCTTTTGCCTGCTGCTAATTTGAAAAGATCAATTTCTCTTATATATAATGGGATATCGTTAATACGTTCCAATACTCTTGACTCAATCAAAGCCCTTTGGGAGGGAGATTTGGGGGAGAGCATATCTGATGAAGACTGGTCTCAAATATTAAAGCGGGTTCATAAATCCTCTATATGTGCAAGACATTGTCTTATACAATGTAAACTCCTTCACCGAGTTTATTACACAAAATCTCGGCTATCCAAAATATACCCTAATGTCTCCCCAATGTGTGACAGATGCCAACATTCTCAAGGGAATCTTATTCACACGTTTTGGCTCTGTCCACAACTGGTTACTTATTGGACCGACATTTTTGGCATTATTTCCAAAGTGATTGGCAGGACAATAGACCCAAGCAGCGTGAGTGCTTTGTTTGGAATATATAATGGGCCACTTTCCCTCTCCACCTTACATGGCAACTCTCTTGCTTTTATGACCCTTCTGGCCAGAAGGGTAATTTTGCTAAAATGGAAATCTCCGCAACCTCCTTCTGTTACCCACTGGCTTAGGGACGTTTTATATTTTCTTAAGCTGGAAAAAATACGCATGACGATTCATGGCTTCTCTGACAAATTCATTTAGGCCTGGAATCCCTTGTTTAATTTGCTTAAGCAAATGAACTTTCCTTGTGTTCCGAATTAGCTTTTATTACTCCTTTTTTTTCTACATTACCTGTTTTGTTTTATTAAAGTGGGGGCGCCGCACATCTTTACATCCCCCTTTTATACTTTGGACATGCTTTTAATTGGCTGGCTGGTTGGAGTGCTTTCTGTTTTGTTCTGTGGGTGTGATTTTAAGGAGATTGTATCAGTGTTCATTTCTCCTTTGTACTGTATCTGACTTGTTTGGAAACTGTACAATTTCTGTAAAACTTCAAATAAACAAAGTTTGAAAAAAAACAAAACATTTCTGTCAACATAGTGCGTTATATCCGGTGACGCGGCCCCGCGCCAGGCGGCTGCTGTGGTAAACAAACCAGCGTGTGCGCACGGATCCCAAAGTTAAAAAGAGAAAGAGTCGATAATAAAACTGGACTAAGAATAAGAATGAACATTTGCTTTCAGCCAATGAGGATGGACTGCTTCATGTTTGCGTTGTAATGAAAAGTTTTGTTGCAACACAAGGAACAGTGAAGCGCAAAACACCCTTCACTGAAGGATTAATTCATCACAAATTCAGAGCACCTATTTTCAGACTTCAAAAACCTCTGCAAAGACGGTGAAAGAGAGGGCCATTAAGGACATCAATATAGCTCCAGCAAACTTCAGCCTGTGATTCGATGGATATGAACAGACATTGCTGTGATGCAGGTGAACTCAGTCAAAAAGCAGATGTATTTACTGTATTTGTACAATTGCATGAAGGCTTCTGAGTTGCAGACCCCTGGTATAAACAAACTGTAAAAACGTGAAAAAACATGCCTGGGCCGCCAAGAAGGAAAAAATGCCCGGGCCGTTTTTTTGACCCAGTTCAGCCCTGGCTACCAAGCTCCTTTACTGTGGAATCAGCTTCCCATTCATATTAAGGAAGCAGACACAGTCTCCACATTCAAGGCCAGGCTTAAAACACTACTTTAATTTAGCATATGGTTAGGTTGTTTGTCTGATTTGGTTTACACACTTGGTGTGTAATCCACAAATCTTTGGTGTTGTACTGTAGCGTGGGCTGCTGGCTGCTGCTGTCTCACCTTCGTTTGGACACGGTCTCTATGTAAGGCTAGGCTTAAAACAGTCGTCCTCAGTTTAGCATATGGTTAGGAAGGTAAGACTCAGGGAAGGCTAAACACCTTAGACTGTCAGTTAAGCTGCATAGGGAGTCAATTTGCTGGGAGAAGTATGGTAACTTGAGCACTATCCTCTCCTCCTCCCTACTTTATCTGTCTGCATTATTGGGATTTTGACTGTAGTCTGTTCATTGCTATTCACACGTTGTCCCATCGTCTGTTTCATGGAGCGACAATGGGACCTCTGAACCGGACCTCACCATCTACACCTGCGTCCTGCCTTCCCCCCTCCATCTGCACCTGCGGACTGTCCTGCCCGACCCGCCTGGGAGCACCTCAGTCCTGCACCAGATCTGTCCACGTTCAGCGGCCGCTGTGTGGCATTGGTCCTCGTTCTGTAGCTTAGGCTATAGATCCAGGACCTGTCCGTCCGTGTGGAGCGGATCCCTCTTTCAATATGTGGGCCTTTTTTTCCCACTGGGTTTTTGTGAGTTTTTCCATGCTGATGCAGGAGAGTCTGTTGGACAGTTAGTGTCCAACTAGAAGGACTGTGGTGATGATCCAGGACACTTTAACATTCTACAACATGTATGGACATTTATCAATGTTCATTGGTCTCTCCCTACAAACCAATTCATATGTGTATATTTACTCTGTACCTCCCGGTACAAGTATGCCACATGGCCTGGCTCGTTTCTCCACAACCAAGCACGAGAACCCACAGTGTGCCACTGGTGGAGCACCATTGAATTCATTTTGTGTATTACAAATGTATAAAAATGAAAGAGGAGGAAGTTCCCGGATCAACTACCTATCAGGGGTATATTGTTTCATTGAATTCATTAAAATTTAAACAAAATCAACAATAAAAATCATAAAAAATAAACAAAATCAAAAATAAACACAATAAAAATATTTATAATAAAAATAAACAAAATAGTAGTAGTGTCATTCAAACATTTCACACCTGTTTCATACAACGTGCATTTAATAGTACTGGAAAGGCTATTGTTGGAGAAGAAAGAAGATTAAAAGTAATTGCAACCAGATCTGGAAAAGCAAAAGGATTTTATTGTGAAAAAAGAACCGGAAAATATTGAATGTTTACGGAAATTGAAGGCATTATCAATGAACGAATGCACCGCTTCCTCTCCGCTGTCTGTGTGAGTCAAATAATTCACCTTTAGCGAGTTATAATAATTTCTCCCCAGTTTGCAGCGACACACAGGCGCCATGTGGGACCAGGAGATCCGGGCCATGGGGTCGTGCCACGCTCTGCTCGCCGCCTCGGTCCTCTTGTCCACGGTAGTTCCCGCGGTGCTGGTCCCTGGCTTCTCCGTGTATGGGACTCACCTGGTCTGGATCTACTGCTTGTCCTCGGCGGTCACAGGGGTCAGCGCGGTGGTCTTCTGGCTCCTGGGACTAGCACCTCCGGCTAGAAAACACACATTGGGATACAAGGTGAACACTGCCTAAATCCATTATGAGATTGGATTGTTCATGTACTTTTAGGTAATCGAGAGTTTTTGTAGTATTTGTAGTAATAGTTTTAGTAGTACCCCTTCTTATTTCTTTCTTACAACCGTAGTAGTAGTGGTAGTAGTAGTACGTTTTGAGTCATTTACAGAGACACTGCAGGTGAATGACAGTGCCGGTGTTACGTCGAGCCGCGTTTCCCGTTTCCCCTGCGTCTACTCGCCGCTCCGCGCCTCACACGCGGCAAATAGTGCGCGTGCTTGTTCAGCACTCGTAACCAGCGAGCCGTGCTTGCGCGGCGAGGCAACTACAGACACAGTGAAAGCACCTGAGTGAAGTTGGCCCCTACCCCACGCAAAACTCAGTGAAAAATAGCCACACTCGTTAGTGCTGGTTTGTGCAGAAAAAATATCGTTTGTGCTGTTTTGGTTTTTCAGGTATGACAACTTTATATTAATATAGCCTATATATATATATATAATATGATATGACAAATAAATAAATAAATATGTATGTATGTATGTATGTATGTATGTATGTATGTATGTATGTATATATATATATATATATATATACATACATACATACATATGTATATATATATATATATATGTATATATATATTCACAAATATATATATATAAATACATTTATCTATCATGTGTATATATACATGTATTCCCTCAGTGTTAAACAGGGGAAACGCGTCCTTATGGCCAAATTACCCCCGTCAGATACCGTTCCCCCCTGTGTTAAACGGGGAAACGCATCCTGATGGCCAAATAACCCCCGTCAGATACCGTTCCCTCAGTTTTAAACGGGGGAAACGGTATCTGATGGCCAAATAACCCCCGTCAGATACCGTTCCCCTCTGTTAAACGGGGGAAACGCATCCTGATGGCCAAATACACCCGTCAGATACCGTTCCCTCAGTTTTAAAAAACGGGGAAACGGTATTCTGATGGCCAAATAACCCCCATCAAATACCGTTCCCTCAGTTTTAAACAGGGGAAACGCATCCTGATGGCCAACATTACCCCCGCAGATACCGTTCCCTCAGTTTTAAAACGGGGAACGGTATCTGACGGGGGTTATTTGGCCATCAGGATGCGTTTCCCCCCTGTTAAACACTGAGGGAACGGTATCTGACGGGGGTATAGTTTGGCCGTCAGATACCGTTTCCCCCGTTTAAAACTGAGGGAACGGTATCTGACGGGGGTTATTTGGCCATCAGATGCGTTTCCCCTGTTAAACACTGAGGGAACGGTATCTGACGGGGGTAGTTTGGTCTGTCAGATACCGTTTCCCCCCCGTTTAAAAAAAACTGAGGGAACGTATCTGACGGGGGTTATTTGGCCATCAGTGATGCGTTTCCCCCCCCGTTTAACACAGGGGGAACGGTATCTGACGGGGGTAATTTTTTTCCATCAGGATGCGTTTCCCCCGTTTAAAAACTGAGGGAACGGTATCTGACGGGGGTTATTTGGCCATCAGGATGTGTTTCCCCTGTTTAAAACTGAGGGAACGGTATTTTGATGGGGGTTATTTGGCCATCAGGATGCGTTTCCCCCGTTTAAAAACTGAGGGAACGGTATCTGACGGGGGTTATTTGGCCATCAGGATGCGTTTCCCCTGTTTAACACAGGGGGAACGGTATCTGACGGGGGTAATTTGGCCATAAGGACGCGTTTCCCCTGTTTAACACTGAGGGAATACATGTATATATACACATGATAGATAAATGTATTTATATATATATATTTGTGAATATATATATATAAACAGCCTGTATATATATATATTATATACACATACATACAATACATACATATTTATTTATTTCTTTGTCATATCATATTATATATATATATATAGGCTATATTAATATAAAGTTGTCATACCTGAAAAACCAAAACAGCACAAACGATATTTTTTCTGCACAAACCAGCACTAACGAGTGTGGCTATTTTTCACTGAGTTTTGCGTGGGGTAGGGGCCAACATCACTCAGGTGCTTTCACTGTGTCTGTAGTTGCCTCGCCGCGCAAGCACGGCTCGCTGGTTACGAGTGCTGAACAAGCACGCGCACTATTTGCCGCGTGCGAGGTGCGGAGCGGCGCGGAGCGGCGCGGAGCGGGGCGGAGCGGCGAGTAGACGCAGGGGAAACAGTATCTGACGGGGAAACGCGGCTCGACGTAACACCGGTCCTAATCTTTAGGGGCCCCCCCAGTGTGTTCAGCGACTAGTTTCTGCCTTCACTGTGTGTGTAGTAAATGGGAATTACTGGTATATCAGGAAATTTATATAACAAAATGGCGTCATAATAAGGGACCAGTGTGGAAAATAGTCTAAACTGGTCTTGATTTTTTTCCTTCAGCTGTCGAGGTTGTTTCGCTGCTGTCTCTACTTCTTCCTCTCGTGCCTGTTTTTCCACACGGTGCTGGTTCTGTACGGAGCGCCGCTAATCGAGTAAGTATTATTCAAATCCGGTTCAGTTTTAATTGCTTAAAACACTGCAACAATTAGAATTTTTACCTAAACTTTGACCCATTCCCTAGATCTGCATTAGAAACCTTTTCCCTGGCCGTGCTGCTGTCCTCGCTGACCACAGTGAGGTGTCTTTGTGTCCTCGGTCCAAACGTCCAGGCCTGGATCAGAGTCTTCAGTCGACACGGGTGACTACATCGCTCTGCACTTTCACATTAAACCAAAAAACAACTTATTTTTTGTTCTATTATGTAGCTTTTCTCTTAGTTTGTGTGTTCTTTGTAAAGTTTGGGGATCACTGCATGGAGACAATAAGATTTTTAAGGATATTCCAAAAAAAATATCAAATTTCCTGGGAGAAAGATTTCAGAGACCAGAGAGGGAGAGACTGGGGAGAGAGACCATGGAGAGAGACCATGGAGAGAGACCATGGAGAGAGACCATGGAGAGAGACCAGGGAGAGAGACCAGGGAGAGAGACCATGGAGAGACCGGGGGGAGAGACCGGTGAGAGAGACCGGAGAGAGAGACCGGAGAGAGAGACCATGGAGAGAGACCATGGAGAGAGACCATGGAGAGAGACCGGGGAGAGAGAGACCGGGGAGGGAGAGAGAGACCGGGTAGAGAGAGACCGGGGAGAGAGAGACCGGGGAGAGAGAGACCGGAGAGAGAGAGACCGGAGAGAGAGAGACCGGAGAGAGAGAGACCGGAGAGAGAGAGACCGGAGAGAGAGAGACCGGAGAGAGAGAGACCAGAGAGAGAGAGACCGGAGAGAGAGAGACCGGGGAGAGAGAGACCGGAGAGAGAGACGGCAGAGAGAGACGGCAGAGAGAGACGGGAGAGAGAGACGGGAGAGAGAGACGGGAGAGAGAGACGGGAGAGAGAGACGGGAGAGAGAGACGGGAGAGAGAGACGGGAGAGAGAGACGGGAGAGAGAGACGGGAGAGAGAGACGGGCGAGAGAGACGGGAGAGAGAGACCGGAGAGAGAGACCGGAGAGAGAGACCGGAGAGAGAGACCGGAGAGAGAGACCGGAGAGAGAGACCGGAGAGAGAGACCGGAGAGAGAGACCGGGGAGAGAGACCGGGGAGAGAGACCGGGGAGAGAGACCGGGGAGAGAGACCGGGGAGAGAGACCGGGGAGAGAGACCGGGGAGAGAGACCGGGGAGAGAGACCGGGGAGAGAGACCGGAGAGAGAGACCGGAGAGAGAGACCGGGGAGAGAGACCGGGGAGAGAGACCGGGGAGAGAGACCGGGGAGAGAGACCGGGGAGAGAGGCCCCCGAGAGGATCAGGAACCTCACCCACAACTGCCACAAAAGTTTTCCTAGATGTTTTGTGTATTTGCTGTTGTGATTACAAAGTGAAAATGGAAAACCAAATACAATATATGGTGTCACACAGCCTCTAACAATGAGTGACATTTCTTTCTATGTATTTGGATAAAATCAAAAGCAGTTTACCTCGTTTCAAACTGGACTTTCTATGTTTTAGGGCGATGTCAGTGTGGGACACGTGTTTGCAGATCACTGTGGCCTGTACACTGGTGGGGGCCTGGTTTGGAGCCTTCCCCATTCCTCTGGACTGGGACCGGCCCTGGCAGGTGAGGCCATGAGACAACAGTACATTGAAAATATTTGAATTGTATTTGAGCAGTGAGTAACATGCTGGTTTCTTTCTATATCTCTGTCTTCTGTCTCTATATTTTAATTGCATTTTTTTGTATCTCAGTCCCTGTTCCTACATACCCCCCCAAAAAAAGATAAATTCTATATACATTGTAGTCAGAAAATCTTCGGGTGATAACGATTCTGTTCTGAACTTCTTCTTGGAGTTTGTTTCTAAGTATATAATTCTCTTCAGTCGCCTCTTTTACAGTCATTCTTTTCATTTAGTTTTGTATTCAGAAAATCACTAAAATATCATAGTTTTAGATTGCCCTTATTTTTGTGATATCTTTACTATTGGGTCAAACTAACTCATAAATCACATAAAGCTTATTCATTTGGCTTTTCACTAACATTCATGTAGCTGCTAAGGAGACCCCAGAAGTCACATAAACCTGGGCTCCCAATCCTACCCCTGTTTTATAAAAAACAGGGGAAAAAGTGGATGTTCGGAATAAGAACCAAACAATATTTCTCAAAACAAATAAAAGCTGTTTTTCAAATGGCTGAGAATAACGAGTGGCCATTTCCTCATTCAATAGTAATTACCAAGCAGTCATTTGTTTGAGCTGAAATGTCGTATATAATGGCCAAAAGTGTAATTAGGATTTCAAAGCCAGAAGCGACATGTAAACAGCTGTAATTAAAACATTTATCAAAACTGAAGTTCTGCTTTTGAAGGAGTGGGTTCGGAGACTTTAGCATCAAAACCAATGACGGTGAATGGAGATTATGCTATCCACATTAATTCAAGTTTTAAAAGTATAAGGGTAAAAGAGCCAAAAGTCAACAACAAAGAATGTATTGTGTAAATTAGGTTTCTCCAGAGGCTTTGAAGCACTGTTTTACCATAAAATACACCATAACAGTAATTGTAGTCCTGGTATCAGCTAATTTATTTCTCTGGATGCATCGATTCTGGTAAATATGTTTCTGTGATTTCTGTTTTTTTTATATATTGATATTTATTGTCATAGAACCAATATTATTAACACTTTAGAGGCTATTTTTCGATTTCATTTTATGTTATTGAAGGTGCAGAAAGCGATTTTGTTAGCTTAGCCGTAGCATCATCTCGAAACCACTCCCCCCTCCCCTCGCCCCTCCACCAAACCAAACATCCAGCATTTTCTTTTCTTTGTCACAACAGGGAGAGTGGACGGCAAACGTGAAATTGGCCTTTTCTGTTCAGCCCTTTTAAGTTTTAGAAAATCCCATAACTCCGGTGCGCGAAATGGGAAGAGGGTGAAGGGGGTTAATGCCTCCCATTGGGTTATTTTTATCATCTGGTCAATTCCATCACTATTTTCCCACAATATTTATAAAAATGGGTCTGGAAAAAATCACTGACTGCATCTTTAATGTTATCTTTCAACTTAAAGCAAATTTGATTCAATTCAATTTATTGGTTGCGTAGCCTTAAATCACACCAGCAGTTATCGAGAAGGACTTTACAAAGCTGTGGATTCGCCAACACAGATCAGAGAATCAAAAATGTCTACAGTTTTCTGTTAAATAATGAGTTTAAATTCAGTCCCCATTGACACCACCTCGAACACTGCACAAACAGATGAAAAATACGGCAAATCTCGTTTTAAGACCGTCAGAACATGCTCAAGATAAAAACCACTCCATACAAGCATTTATCTCCTCGTATTTCATCATTCTCTGCACCTCTGTCCTCAGGTCTGGCCCGTGTCCTGTAGTTTCGGTGCCACGTTTGGTTTTCTGACCGGACTCCTCGCCGCCCCCACCTGGATCCACTATCACCGCAAACAGCTCACTTATAAATGCAAGTGACGACACCACCTCCATCTTTCTTTTGTTTCGTTTTTTTACCAGCTATTTATTGGGACTCAGAGCAGCTGTTCCTGTTCTGGGGAAAAGATCAACTGTATCATTTTCTAATAGGTTCATATTGAAGTATCTTGTATAACTGGTTTGATTTAAGCTTAAATATTTTAATAAAATGGTTCTTTGGTAAATATGGCTTCTCATTTTTCACTACATTTTTACTTACAGTTGCAAGTCCGTGTCCAGCCTGTAGGTGGTGCTGTTGTCTCACAGAAAACCTTGCAATGGATAGATTTTAGTATTAACTCTAATTTTCTTTAAACAATTGAACCAACTTATGTTAATATCTTAAATGATACAAATGTATTCAATCATATAACTGAGACATTTTATTTTAATTGCGTACTCCAGCTTTATCTTAATACTGTATAGGTGTAATGATTAGTTAAAAATTCGATCCGCTGAAATGTTTACATATTGCTCGATATTATAACTATTTTGAGATTTTTGGACCAAAACATTTTCCAAAAAGAATGTAGTTTTATTTTGCAGGACTTATCCAGGATCTCCATAGTTTTCCTTATTTAGAATATCAGCTTTATTAGAATATCAGCTTTATTAGAATATCAGCAGGTTGTATGTTTATCTGAAAATCCACAGTTGGGTAGAAATGTTGGTTTTGAACCTGCGTTAAAGCACAGGTGTCAAATCCAAGGCCCACGAGCCAAATGTGGCTGTCAGACCATTTGTAGTGGCCCCTGAATTTTTTTTTTTAATTACTTTTTACAGGAATTGATGGTAAGGCCAATATGACCTACCATGGTGTGTTATACCTCATTTCAAAGCTATTTTCTCAAGTAAACAACCATGTGTTATTTCTATTCTGTAATGCGCACAACTATGACATTGAATATAAGATGCTTATCTTATATTCTGCTGAGACACAATCCCAGACCTCTGCAACTTTTGTTAATTTCTCAACGTGCCTCGATCTCAAAACAACTCCAGGTCTCTTTTGGGTGGATGTTTATCTCAATAAAGACCAGAGAGACACTGGAGATACCAGAGTGAGATCAGAGAGAGAGGTCTCTTTAGGGAGAATGTTTAGCTCAAAAACGTCTATTTCGCATAATGAGACCAGAGAGAGAGACCATAGACTAAACCTCATGACTGTCCCATTCTCCTCCTCAACACTATTTCCCACAGTGTCGAGTCCTGGGGCAGAGAGCATTGATTATTCACCAGGACTTAGGGTGTATGCAGCCCACGTCTCCTCTTCCCCTCGTAGCCACAGGGACACTCCGAATATTTGGCGCTACAAGAAGGACACGCAAAGAAATGTACTCATAGAATATTCTTAATGAAGGATCTCTCTGGTGCTGAGACTGAGAACACTCATCGGAAGAAGCGAGAGAGAGAGAATGATGGATGTGAGAAGGAAAATCAGGCGCCTAGACTCTGCCTTGTTTACACGCAGAGCCCAAATCTGCTCAGGATCTGATTTATGGAGTTTTGGAGATGACATTGAAGCATGCAGTTCCATCTCAGGCTGATTAACGCTCGGACTCCCAGAATTTGGAAACAACCAGAACTCCCAGAGCAGTAATTTAGACTTTAGACTAATACTGAAATGTCTGTGTTCATTACTATAAACTTACACCATTGATGGTAAGGTTATTGTGAGCCACCATGGAGTTCTATATCTCATTTTAAAGAACATTTTATGGGCTTTTTCGGAGTGGAGTTTGCATGTTCTCCATGTGTCTGCTCTGGTTTCCTCCAGGTGCTCTGGTTTCCCCTACCACTAAAAAGGCATAATAGTTCTGGCACGCTCCCATCTCTGTGTGGAGTGAGAGACAGATACCCCCAACAATTGTAAAAGTGCTTTTTCGTCCGTGAAAGGCGCTATAAAACTAAAGACTACTTACTTTCTTACTTACTCACATTTTCTCATGTAAACTATACAAAAATAAAAATCAATCTGTAACTTAAGCATAATAAAGAAGAGCAAGAAATATATACTTGTATGATTATAATGTATGTAAGCTAAAAGCCATCAAATTGATTGCTCTGGGAGTTCCAGTGTAATTTGTGTTTTATTGTAAATATTGTGGGGGGAAAAGGGAGAAAAATAAGTGTATTCTTGGCGTCCTCATTAGCAGATGAAAATTATTATGCAGAGAACGGAGGACGGAGGGGCGTACACGGTAACCTAGATAGAGCAGACAGGGCTATAGTGAGAAGCAGGGTATTTCTGAGGTCTGGGGGTGGTCTGTGGGTGATCAAAATGGAAAATTACCAACCAAACTTTGCAACGAGTCATTTGTGTTGCCAATTCACAAGGTGATCTTTACCTATTTTCTGTTCTTTTGCCAACAAATATACATAAGAATTCTTTTAACTGTCATGGTAAGTAACAGGAAGTCACCAACTAGGATTAGGCTTTTGGTATATGGTGCAAACAACTGATAATAATATAATAAAAAGAAAAAAGAAATGCAAAAAACGTGATAGAGCCTTCATCTCAAACATATTCAAAAATCAACTCAATGTGGGCAGTTATTATGTTATGTTACCTAAGGCCTTGTACATGTACCATCTGACAGTATGGTACAAAAAGCATGGAATATTTCTACTTTATTTGGTTTATTTGCCAAAACCGTATCCAACCATATTGAAAATTGTAAGTCTGCTGCTAATGGTGGAAAGCGATTAGAACTAGTACACACAGAAAGAAGAAGAGATATACAGTGTATTGAGTTTTGAACAAACAGTCGGGAGGAGGCCTTTAGAAACAGCCCATGGTCTTTATGCTATACTTTCTCACAGACAATGAGATGGCTTTGTATTAAACTTCAGCTCAAATTGCTGTGTATAGGAAACCCAGCTATCCAGATATCCAGCTATTCAGGTTTTCAATATAGATAATAATAAAGAAGCAAGTATAAAATCTCTAGCTTTAGCATCATAAAGAAACACGAAAAAAATCTCTAGCTTTAGCATAATAAACAAGCAAGTATCTAGAGCAAGAAATATATATAGATGTATGTAGATAGATAATGTATGTAATCTAAAAGCCGTCAAATTGACTGCTCTGGGAGTTCCAGTGTTAACTTGTGTTTTCTATTGTAAATGTACAGATATGGTTATTCAGGTTTTTCCGTTTGGAGATAGAAAAGTCCTGTAAAGCTACATACATTAAACAAAAGCATCCTGACAGTACATGGCAGTTCTTTACATAAACACCAGGGGATCAGACGAAATCGAGAACATATTTTACACCTGTTTTTCAAAGGTTGATAGTTTCACAGCTCGAGGTGAGAACCATCAAACACAGCGAGGAGAAGAAACAGATCTGCCCCAAGCTGCAGAAATACAGAGGTGTAATTCAGTTTGGTGTCAATGAGCAATATGGCTTATAAGATTAGTTGGTAAATGTGTTCTTTCAAGCTACAACACTGTACAATAAGAATCCATGGGAACAAAAGTCTGGATTAATTCAGGAAGACCATGGATGGATCATATCATGTTTAAAGTCTCGTCTTAAGACAAACCTTTTTACTCTCTGGATTTTAATACCGTTGTGGGGTCCTCTGTTTGATTTATTGTATTGTTTTATGTTTTTATTTATTTTATTTATTTTATTGTTTTATGTTTTTATTTATTTTATTTTGTTTTGTTTTGATGTTTTTTTATTTTTTATTTATTCTATTGTTTTGCTTTATTATTTATTGTATTGTACAGACAGATACCTGTAGTGCCAGACAGAGACAGACAGAGTATTTACCTCCTATGAATAGACCATGTGTATAGATGATTAGACCTTATGTTAAGAATGCTACAGCAGCCTCCCCCCTTCCTCACACGTCTCCCCCTCCCTCGCTGAGTCCCCCATTACCGTCTTAAATATACGGCTTATTCCCTGGTAATTCTTCACCTCGAGTCATGTGTGCTGCCTGCTGCCTGCTGCGTCCTGAGGTGACAACCGCTGGGCCCTCGGAGACGACAGAGCGTTGTTCCATCAAGAGATTATTTACGGCATTTTTCTGATCTCTGTATTAAAGCTGGGGCACCTAACTTTCCTTTTGTATTGATGATAGTCAGTTTGACCCAACAGAAAGAGTGTCGTAAATGTTATTTGATGTGGTAACAATCACACCACTCTCTTCTGTATTTATCTTATCAAAGAACTTGTTTATACTTATGAATCACTATTTTGACTCTTTTTTTAAAAAAAGTGAAAACTAGTAATTGAACTGTTTTAAAAATAGTTACATTGCTCTATAATTTGTGGTTTCAAAGTTAGGTACCCTAGCTTTAAGCCTGTGGGCTATTTATTATGTTGGTTTATTATAAGTATTTACAATATTCAGTATGTATCATTTCAATGCCTCGTATTGTGTCTTGTTTTGTTCAGCACTTTTGAATTACCTTGTGTATATACTGTGCTTAGTGTGCTATACAAATAAACTAGCCTTTTAAGCATAAAATAATAAATCACTCAAACCTCGCGGCCAAACAGAGAATTTCTTTTAGCGAGTCAGAACCAGTGCGTTGGGAAAGACACACAGTCCATTCCTTGTCATTCTTTCTTTGACGTAGCGATTTCTACACTATATGTTCTTTGGGTTGATTGTGTTTCTTGTTTTTCGTGAGCACAACATCATTCCTCAACTTCGCACAAAAGAAGGAGCTTCACAAATGGCTGCGCTCATTCAATTTGAGGGACTTTATTTATTCATTATGTTCCCGGGCCTCTGCTGCTGCTGCTGCTGCTGCTGCTGCTGCGGTTCTGGAGAATTGTGCTCAAACGTCATTTATCTTTGCTTTTCAACGGCCGCCTTTGTTCCTGTGTTTGTCCAGCTCCTGTAGCGAGGGCTTGTACCGAGACGTAATGAAAGACACGGTTGAAGAAGTTTGAATCGAAATGCATACAGTCAGGCAAATACTTTAATGTAGGACTCCCATAGTGGTCATTTTGACGGCTCTCTTTCCCCCAAAAAGTT